CGATTTGATTGGAAAGACCTGTCCATCAGCTTTTAAATACGTCAGATTGATGTCAGACCCGGAAGTGAAAGTCAGTCGTTATTGATTTCTGTCGAGAGGCAGTGCAGTCTCCGTGATTCAACGTTTGCCTTGGAATTTAGCTAAGAGTTATTCGCCTTCTTAAGTTCAAACTTTCGGACGTCGGTACTCAAACAAATATGTTCAGCGGGATAACTAGCAACATTTATTTCCTGCGGTACATATTAAACTACTGTGTGCTTCGTACAGAGAATACGAGAGGAAGTTCTCCTTCCAGTGACGTGTGAAAGATGGAGACAAGTAGAAATTACACTTACGGTCTGATGTACGTGTACGTGTGTCATCAAGCTCCGTGTATTGACTTTCGACATTAAACGTGTGCACAAAGAAGCGAGTGTCTCTTATGGTGACAGCCAAATACTAAATTCCAGATGTACCTGATTTACTAAAGTTGGACATGACTAAATGTGACCTGTGTGTGCACATATATATTTCTGACAAGCCGGATCTTTGTAATATCTTGATACATTCTAAAATAAAATTGTGACATGTGTATTAATAATTCTCAAGCGTAAGCAATTCAACAACTACAATTGCGTAAAATCATGCACAAGTGACGTGAGCCTATAGTCTATCGAGGTCAACAAGAAGGTAACCAATGTGAAATCTTTGAAGTGAAAAGCTATGGTAGTGACTCAAACAACAAGTTTGTTCTAAAATGTGAGAACATTGAAATATTTGATTGTTTAATATCGTGCAATCGATACTAGAACTCATACGATGCCTTATTATAGACAATTTGCATCACGTCACTGCGCATCACCTTCTGCGCATATACGCCATTAACCTAACCTAACTAACCCAAGGCAACCCAACAGCGGTATTCTGCGTCAGGTGAACATGGCGACCTGAACACGAATTTTCGAAATAGACCATGGATGGTCGGAAATTGCTGAAATTTTGTATGGACGTCGTGCCACAGGTAAGTAATTAAAATTCATACTCCTTCGTGTCACAACACTTATAATAAATTCTCACGAAGGCATCAAAGTCGCGAGGTGGAAGAAACTCGAAATCGGTCACGATCACCAACATCAACCATATCAACAAGGAGTTATGCACTCGATATATATTAAAATAAAATTTTAACATGTGTACTAATAATACTTAAGCCTAAGCAGACCACACATTCAATTCAACAACTACAATTGCGTAAAAACATGAATAAGTAACGCGAACCGATTGTGTTGCGAGGTCCAAAAGTAGGTAACCAATGAAGAATCTTTGAAGTATAAAGGTGTCGCAGTGACCCAAACACTAGATTGTTCTATAATTTAAGAACATTGAAATATTCGAGTTTTTAATATCCCGCAATCGATAATAAAACACATACGATGCCTTAACATAGACAACTTGCACACGTCACTGCGCATCACCTTCTGCGCAGATGCCACATTAACCTAACCTAACCTAACCTAACTCAACCCTACAGGGGTAATCTGCGTCAGCTGAACATAGCGACCTAAGCACGAATTTTCGAAATAGACCATGGATTGTCGGAAATTGCTGAAATTTTGTATGGACGTCGTGCCACAGGTAAGTAATTAAAATTCATACTCCTTCGTGTCACAACACTTGTAATAAATTTACACGAAGGCATCAAAGTCGCGAGGTGGAAGAAACGCGAAATCGGCCACGATCACCAACATCGACCATATCAACAAGGAGTTATGCACTCGATATATTTTAAAATAGAATGTTAACATGTGTATTAAAAATACTTAAGCGTAAGTAGACCACACATGCAATTCAACAAGTACAATTGCGTAAAAACATGGATAAGTGACGTGAGCCAATTGTGTTGTGAGGTCCACAAGTAGGTAACAAATGTAAAATCTTTAAAGTATAAAAGTATGGCAGTGACTCAAACACTAGATTGTTCTATAATTTAAGAAAATTGAAATAGTCGAGTTTTTAATTTCTCGCAATCGATAATAGAACACATACGATGCCTTACCATAGATAATTTGCATCACGTTACTGCGCATCACCTTCTGGGCAGATGTCCAATTAACCTAACTAACCCAAACAGGGGTAATCTGCATCAGCTGAACATGGTGACCTGCGCACGAATTTTCGAAATAGACCATGGATGGTCGGAAATTGCTGAAATTTTGTATGGACGTCGTGCCACAGGTAAGTAATAAAAATTCATACTCTTTCGTGGCTCAACACTTGTAATAAAAAAATCACAGGAATGAATCTAAGTCGCGAGGTGGAAGAAACGCGTAATCGGCTACCATCACCAATATTAGTTAGTAATACCGTTACACCATTCGCTGTATTTAAATAATGCAAGGCACATGAACATTAGTGATGAGCTGGGCACAAAACTGTATGCTTTTGAGCTACATTGTTCAAGTTAAATATCACAAAAATATGCCGTTAAGCCATATTCTGAGGAAGTTTAATCCAGTCAATAATTCATGTCATATTTACCTAAGACCCACTTAAATATAATTCTTTATTTTAGTCGAAAGTTTCCCAAATAGTATTTCTGCCTAACGTTTAGAACATGGAACTACAGAAATTTGCTGATGAACATCATAAAGGCCAG